TCCCTGCGCGCACCCCACCCCCACCCCGCGGCCCCGGCCCCTGCGTTCCCCGGAGGGCTCCGCCGAGAGCCCCACCGGTTTCTTGAAGGGAAACACGAGCGACGCGAGAGCGGAGACCGAAGGCGAGGTCGGGACTACTTTCCCCCTCGCGCGGAGGACTACCTCTCGCAGTTTGAATGGGTTCTTATACAAAGAAGGGAAACTAATTGGAAGAAACTAATTGCGGCCCCACCGTTCCCACGGGGTTTTTTTTTTGGGGGGGGGTTATCTCCTCGCAGCGGAGTGCAGGGGGACAGAGTTCCCAGGTGGCGGTGTCTCCTGGAGTCGGAGGAGGCAGTGTGGGAGCTCGAGGTGCGGGGTGGGGTTTTGGTGGGGCTTTCTGCTAATTGGGGGGTGGGGGGGACGTTGGAAGTCGCCGCAATCGCCTGAGTTTCGGGGCGCCGCCGCGTCTGCGAGGCCAGAGGGGAGGGTCCTGAGCGGGGACGCTGCCCGGACGCAGAGTCAGGGCGCGGGGTGGGTGGGGAAGGTCCCCCTGCCATCCCAGAGGGCCGTTTGGAGAGCTGTGAAGGGGCCGGATTGTCCTCGGGGGGGAGGGGAGCCCTTAGAAAACGGGGACGGGGGGCTTACAGAGACGGGCTGGGGGTCCAAGAAGGGTAAAGGGGGCAGAAGCCGTTTTCATCCCAAGCCCTCGGTAGGGGGAGGAGGGTCAACTTCCTCCGAGGCAGGAGCCACTTTTCCGGATCTGCCGCCTGCCCGGCCTCCGCCGCTCCACCCTGGGCACCCCGGTGAGGAAACGCTCGACCCAACCCGAAACATCCTCGCCCTGGACAGTGACCAGCTGTGGGCCCAGGGGCTGCTTTTATAGCTGTGAGGGGGGATGGGAGAATGTGTGAGCCCCCCCCCACAGGTCTATCTGCCCCACCTCCACCGACTCCCCCAAACAACGCGTGCTCTTTGCACATAATCGGGAGGCGAGAGGTCTATAAATGAGAAGAAATTTTTTAATTTTAAATGCAGCGGATGGCTGTTTTCCTTTTAAGTTACTTCGAACCTGCGCTTAATATGGGGACAGTTTACACCAGCTCTGGTTATAAATAGCTACAGGGAGAAATCTGGAATTTGATGATTTTAAAAGCCTGAATAAATAAGCAGGATGTTCTCCACATTTTCTGCGGCATGGACCGTCATTATTACTTCAGTGAAGTGACCACGTTCAGTTCTGCCCGAAAGGCCTGTAAGAAAAGGCACTGTGCCCTCGCCATGGAGGAGACGTGCCCCCGCCGGGTTCAGGGTCTCAGCTCCTGGATTCCTCTTAAAAGGACACCCATCTCCTTGGAGAGCCCAGGTGGTGCAGGTGTGTGTGGCCACCACCCCAACCCCCGCCCCATAACTCCCCACCAGCTGGAGTGGGGGGATACAGGCAGCAAAGCCAAAGGTTAGAAACCAGAAGTGGCCTTCACACCTGGCTGAGGGCTGTGACTCATCTCTGGGGGAGTACTGCGTGAGGAATGAGGTTGAGAACATTGCCCTGCTCACTTGGTGTCTATGGAGCTTTACCAGCAGACTCTGGAGAAATTAGCCTACGAGGAGGGCACAAAGCTGATACTGAGTCATTTATTAGGGCCACAGGGAAGACACGGGACGTGGGGTCACCAGTCCCACCTATACCAAACCCCAAGGTTGGAGCTACTTCCTAGCTGGGTAATGACAGGGATACATCACTGGGCCTTCCAGCCAGTCACTTTTTTCAACAAATATATAACAGCTAATTGTGCCAAGCCCCGTTCTAGTTTGACCCCAAAGTCACACAGAATGCCATACTGGCTTTGACCCTCTCAGCTTCCTGGTCTGTAAAACACAAATAATAGTACTTACCTCCTAGCCTGGTGGCTTTTTACCAATTCCATCTCCCCATCCCCTCTCCTTCCACCTGAAGCAACCCTGCAACCTAAAGGAAAGCCCCTTTCCTGCCCCTGCCTCTTGTTGGGGGGCAGGCAAGGGGGCCCACATACAGCCCTTCTGATTGGGAATCTGTGATGTCAGTCTTCAAGCTGGCAATCCACAGAGTCAGCAGCCCTACCATGTTTTCCTGGGACACTCTCCCCCACCTTCTGAGACTAAGATTTCACACCCTCTTCCCTCTCCTTACACACCTCCCACAGCCCTTCTGCCCTCAGTCCCAGCAAATGACCTCACCTCATGTCTTCAGTGAGAAAAACTGAATCCGTCAGATGGGGTCTCTCATCATCCAGTACCCAAACTGGCACATCTCCCTACCTGGCATCCACCTCCCCCTCAGGCTCTCCCACCCGTATCTTGATCTCAAGCACCCACCTCCTGCTGCCTTCCCCTTGCTGCTCTCCTGTACCATCAGCCCCTCTCTCTTTTCCCTTGGGTACCATTTTCAAAAAAGGGGGGGGGGGACTCACCATTGCTCCCAAGCCCCCTTCTGCCTGCTCTCCCCACCCCCTACAATAGAAAACTCCAGAGACTAGTCTAAACCTGCCTTCTCCACTCCCTCCCTTCCCAGTCTCTCCTCACCCCACCTCAGTAGGGCTTTATCCCTACCCTTAGCTATTGCTAAGGTCACCCACAAGCTCCCTCCTGCCCAATCCAGCGGTCACTTCCTGTTCTCACTGCACTTCTCAGCAGCACCTGGGTCTGCCACTCCTCCCTTGGGAAATTCCCTCACTTCCCTGGACCCTAGTCTTCCTCCTCCTCCTTCACAGACCACTCCCCCCTCAGCCCCCTTTGCAGCTTGCACCCTCTCCTTCCGACTTGTAGGTGTTGGGGTTCCTCCTAGACCCCCTTCTCTGTGCCTGATACATTGTAGGAACTCGTTAAATATTTGTTGAGTGAAAAGTAATTTTAGGGAACACAGGCTGCCCGTGCGTACACAGAGCAGGAGCCAAGCCCAGGGAGGAGAGGGTTCCTGGCACAGGTGAGGTCTGACGGAGACAACGTGAAATACGCCCTTGAGGAGGACCTTGGGTTTTGTCAGCCCAGCATCTCCCAAGAGGCAGCCATGCGCACCACCCTCTGCCAGCTGTTGGCTTGGGGCTTCCCCATCTCTGACCAGGACGTGACCCAGGACTAGCCAATCAGAGGGCCCCAGAACTCTGGCCGCAGTGATTGGCCCCACAAGGGCACATGACCTGGTGAGGCCAATCAAGGCTCTCGCCTGAACTTTTTCTTGGAGCTCTTAGGGAGGAAGGGATCTCACTCCCTGACATCAGGACCCAAGGTTCTGAAGCCTAGAACGTCCAAGGCCAGGCCAGGGATGGGACGGGCGAGACGGGCCGCGGGGCCGGAAGCTGGAGGAGGCGCTTACCCTGTGGGGGCTCGCTCGCCCACGCCAGTCTAGGCCCTGTTCCAGGGAGCTCTTCTTACACCCCCAGTCTATGCAGAAAGGCCAGTTGAGTCTGATACAATCTTCTGACCTGTCCCCACTGCCCATGCCCCGTAAGCCAGTCCTGAAACCCTGGCTTTTTAAATAGAGCCATTGGAGATCCTGCTACAACTCAAAGAATCCTGAATGATACAAATAAGTAAGCACTAACCTAGTGTAGGAGGAGAGAATGGATATGCTGTGCTGTGCTTAGTCGCTTAGTCACGTCCGACTCTTTGCGACCCCGGGGACGGTAGCCCACCAGACTTCTCTGTCCCTGGGGATTGTCCAGGCAAGAATACTGCAAGGGGTTGCTGATACCCAGGTTGGGAAGGCCTGGGAATCAAACCCAGGTCTCCCTCATGCTGGGAGAGAAATAGCACCTTCTCTCCTGTGAAAGGCTTAAAGAAAATAGCTAATGTCTTCAGGAATGTGACTCTGCCTGGTTCTGTTCTCCGGGTAGAGATCCTGGGTTCTTTTAATTCAACCAATAATCCCATGGGGCTCATCCATGCCTTGTAGGTAAAGAAACTGAGTCACCTAGAGGTGAAGTCATCTGTCTGAACCACACGGCCCCACGTGCCCCACAGCAGGTCTCAGCCACAGAGCCATGCAAGCCACATGCCTCACCAGAGACCTAGGAAGGCAGGGAGGACAAAGTTTGAGGATGTGGGTAAAAGACCTTGTTTGATTCTACACATACAGTGCGAGCGTGCCTGTGTGCATGCTCGGTCATGTCTGACTCTTTTGCAACCAGCTAGTCTCCTCTGTCCATAAGATTTCCCAGGCAAGAATACTGGAGTGGGTAGCCATTTCCTTCTCCAGGGGATCTTCCCAACCCAGGGATCTAACCCTCGTCTCCTGCGTTCGCAAGGGGATTCTTTACCAACTGTACCATCTGGGAAGCCCTCTGATACTACACATAGTGTTTATAATTGTTTGTATATCTGGCCGCCCGGTTCTCAGTTGCAGCATGCAGCATCTTCGATCTTTGTTGCGGGACCTTTCAGTAGCGGCATGTGACCTCTTAGTTGTGGCACACGGGATCTAGTTCCTTGACCAGGGATCAAACCCTGGGCCCTGGTTTGATTGCAAGCATGTAGTCTTAGCCACTGGACCACTAGGGAAGTCCTGTGTTTATAATTCTTACTGCTACTTTTTTTTTTTTTTTTTTTAGCATTATTGTTAGATGGCTTGTTAGAAATTTGCTAGGCAAAGAATAGCTTCTACAAAGCGGGAGCCAGGAAAAAGCGTGTGTGCTGGGCTGTGGCAGAAAAACAGCCAGAAGCCTGTCCTGGGAGGATTCATTCCCGCAGAAGACTCTTCAGAAAATGAGACTCTGGGCATGAATTTTAGCTATTCTAGGAGTTCTTAACCTGAAACCTGTGGATAGAGCTCAGAGGTACCATGAACCCAGGAGGGTAGTTACAGATTTATTTAAATGAACCTTTAACTGAAATCTATCATTTTCTCCAATTATGAATGTAGGCGGTATTAGCAATGACTGGGGCTCTGTCTACCCAT